CCTCCCTCTCTCTCTCTCTCTCTCTCTCCCTCCCTCTCTCTCTCTCTCTTTCCCTCCCCCCCTCTCTCTGTCCAGCAACTGATCTTACTAAAAGCAAGGAAGGAAATGTGTTCCTTTAAAATTATATTTATTTATTTAGATTAATACCAAGCCTTATCCTCCCAGCTTCTGCACTGGAGGAGGGTATTGTAAGATATCTTCTGTACTGCTATTCACACTTCAAAATATAGCTCGGCGCCTGGAAATGTGTGAAATTACTAGCTATGTCACATTTTTTTCCCCAGCATACATTTAGACCCACATGTGCTAAATTCAGGAAGTTTTAATCCTCCTTTTAGAGATCATGTCTTTTCCAAAGCTGCCTTCCATCAATCTGAGGCCTAGAAGTTCATTAAACTACATGCCAAGTGTTCCCAGATACCACAAAGAAGGATGATTTGGGCTGGGGATGATGGGAACTGCAGTTTAATAGAGTCTGGAAAGTGCTGAGCTGAAAGAAGACTGCTCTAGCAGCTTGAAGGAGCAGAACAATCCACTATAGGCAACATGCCAGAACAAAATGGAGGTAGTCCTCCATTTATGAGGACTTTACTTAGCAACCATTCAAAGTTCTGACAGTTGGGCCCTCCTGTGGTCATGTGACCACACTTTAGGCGCTTAGCAACAGGGCGACATTTATGGCTGTTTGTAGCATCCCACAGCCATGTAACTGTGATTTATGAAGGTTTTGTGGAAAACTAGCATTTACCTCTGGTTTTTAGCAAAACTGGTCCCATAGTGAATCATTTAGCGACCACTTAATGACTTATTTAATTAACCATTTAATGACCGCAGCCTTTGCTTAATGGCCTTGGCAGTCACTTTATGACCGTGGTGCTTGTTTAATGACCACAGCAAAAGAAGTCACAAAATCGGATTGGTTTATAGGATCGACCTGCTTTACGACTGTCAGGAGTGTAAGGGGCAGCCTCCATGACGAGAGTAAATGAAGAACTACACGTACAGACAATTAAGAAGAATTAAGTTCTCTAAGCAATTAAGCTGCAAAAAGCATCTAAAACCCAGAATTGTTTAAAGAGAGAGAGAGAGCAATCATTTTGATTTAACATTTGCTGAACTTAATCCCAAAGGCAGAGCCTACATTTTTATTCCAGAAGACTCCAAAGCCAGCAGAATTATTCCCATCTCCCTGGAATGCTTGATTGGTTCCTTGGAAAGACAAGGAATAATCCCTGAAAATTTCCTGTTCACCTAGGTCTGGTCAACCCAAATTTCTTTGACAAAGAATAAAGCTCGTCTGTTTGGTTCAGCCAATTTTTGGTTTTGACTTTTGATTTCCTTCTTGGTTTGCTCAGAGGCACCAAATAACTGATAACAGCCACAGTTGTTTGCTACAAGGCATGATGACACCGCCATACCAATGACAGAATAATGGAGTAACAGTTGGAAGGGACTTTGGAGGTCTTCTAGTCCAACCCCCTGCCCAGGCAAGAAACCCTAGACCAGTGATGGCGATCCTTTTAGAGACCGAGTGCCCAAACTGCAACCCAAAATCCACTTATGCATCGTCGGGTGCCGGGTGGGTGTGGCCAATAGGATGGGTGTGGCCCATTGGGTGGGCGTGGCTGCAGTGGTAACAGCAGACTGGGTGGGATTAAAAAGTTCAATCAATCAATTCCAACTTTGCAAGATCTTTTTTTTCCCCGCGAGAAGTTGAAATTGACTGATTGATTCAACCTTTTTTTTTTTTTTTTGCACATGGCAGCGGAGGCCTAAAGCGAAAAGGTTTTATAAAACCCAGCTAAAGCCTAGGACTGGGGCGACGGCGCGCGTGCCCACAGAGAGGGTGCTGAGTGCCGCCTCTGGCACTCGTGCCATAGGGTCACCACCACTGCCCTAGACCATTTCAGACAAATGATTGTCCAGTCTCTTCCTCAAAACCTCCAGTATTGGAGCACCCACAACTTCTGGAGGCAAATGGTTCCACTGGTTTATTGTTCTCGGTAATGACACATCATTACTTTCATAATGATGATGTCATGATCCAGGTAATGTGGGGGGTTGTTTATTTTTATCTAGTTTCTATTATTTTTATCAATAACTCTAGGCAGTGAACATACTGAGCCGAGGTGGCGCAGCAGTTAGAGTGCAGTACTGCAGGCCACTTTAGCTGACTGTGTTCAGCAGGTCAGTGGTTCAAATCTCACCGGCTCAAGGTTGACTCAGCCTTCCATCCTTCTGGAGTAGGTAAAATGAGGACCCAGATTGTTGGGGGCAATGTAAATATATATACATTGCTTACTGGTGTACACCGCTTAGAGAGTGCTCGCACTTAAAGCGGTATATAAGTCTCATAAATAAATAAATAAATAATACTCCTTCCTCTATCTTTCCCATAACAACAAACCTGTGGGTTGAATTGGACTGAGAGAGAGCACAACTGGCCCAAAGTCTTCCAGTCAACTTTCACGGCTAGGCAGGACTAGAACTCACAGTCTCCTGATGATTGGCCCAAAGTCACACAGCTGGCTGTCAGGCCTAAGATAGGACTAGAATTCACAATCTCCTGATTATTAGCTCAAAGTCATCCAGTTGGCTTTTATTCCTAAAATGGGACTAGAACTCACACTCTCCTGATGATTGGTCCAAAATCACCCAGCTGGTTTTTATTCCTAAGGTCACCCAAATGGTTTTCATGCCCAAGGCAGGATTAGAACTCACAGTCTCCTGATGATTAGCTCAAAGTCATCCAGCTGGCGTTTAGGCTTAAAGTAGAACTAGAACTCACAGTTTCTTGGTTTCTCAACCTGTGGGTCGTGACCCCATTTGGGGTCGAACCACCATTTCACGGGGGTCGCCAAACAACGCAGTCTGCCATTTTTTTTCTCAGCCGGCGCAGGGGGGGCACTGCGCATGCACGCCGCGCAGGGGGCGCCACTGCGCATGAGCGCCACGCAGGGGGCGCCGCCACGCATGCGCGCCGCCTGCTTATGACTGGGGTCGCCGGTCTAAAAAGATTGAGAACCACTGTACTAGAGTGATATTTGTAACTGATAGGCGATCAATGAAATCAAAATTAGCTTGACAGAACTGATGTGTCATGAACAGGATTCTCATTATGGATGTGACTTGTCCTGCTTGTCCACCTGTGGATGGCCTTAGCAGCATCATTGTCGTTTCCCCCCCCCCCCATATTTTCTGCAGTTCCTATATTTCCGGCTACCTCCATTGTTCAATCTGATACTGCTGTGAATCAATAATTGCACCTAAATTGTACTTGGCCTGTGTGCTCAAAAGCCCACATTTGTTTGCTTGAAAAGAGTAAAAAACAGAAAGATGACTGCTAATGGCATTTTCCGGCACCAATAGCTGAAAAGTAATTCTATTGGAATTTATACATTAGATTTCCATCCTCTTTGCCCTTAAAGAAGATCATAATGGATTCCTGGTCTCACTGAGAATTCCTACTGACTTCCTCAGGGTTAAAAATCAGAATTTCCAACTATTACGCCACAAAGAAGTTGTGATCTAGGGCAGAGGTCCCCAACCTTTTGGGCACCAGGACCGGTTCCGTGGAGAAAGGACCGGAGGGTGTGTGGTTTTGTGTGCTGCCTGCATCTCGCAGATGGGGCTTTGCTTGTTTGTGTGGACCGGTTGGTGGCATGTTGCGCCCCGGTAGCGGTCTACGGACTGGGGGTTGGGGACTCCTGATCTAGGGATTAGCTGAATAAAATAGGGAGCTGGGACTGCAGAAGATACTTATTCCACCCGGAAACATTCCTGCTGAGTGGAGAATTTCAGGGAGGAATATTTTGTGCTTTTCATGATTGGGTGAAAAGATAACATTCATTTTCCAGGAGCTTCTCAGAGACATTTCAGAGATGTAAAGACATTTACTCATTTGTCATATAACTCTACATCAGTGTTTCTCAACCTTGACAATTTTAAGGCATGTGGACTTCAACTCCCAGAATTCCACAGCCAGCATTGCTGGCTGTGGAATTCTGGGAATTGAAGTCCACATGCCTTAAAATTGTCAAGGTTGAGAAACACTGCTCTGCATCGTCCATCAACTGATGTGTAGATAAACATGCCTTATTGGTCTCAGGTGCTTTTTCACAGCCTGCAAAGATGTCGGTGAGGGTAAACCAAAAATCTGCTTTTGTTTTTAGCCAATCACTGGGATTGCACAGGGGTGCACATAGGATGGGACAAGGGGTACGCCAACCACTGCAACATTATTATTCAAGTCCCTTTTCTTTGCAATGTTGCATGCATCTCCCAAAGAGGTAAGGTGTAGGGAAGGGGTCTCCAAACGTAGCGACTTTTAAGACTTCTGGACTTCAACTCCCAACATTCCTCAGCCACATACTACTCAGTGCATGCTAGGGTGGGTGTGCTAGTCAAGAAAAGATGCTTCTCCTGACTCCTTTTAGCAATCAGACCTCTAAGAAGAGATGGATTCATGCTCCGTCACAATAAAATCAGCCCCCCAACCTGGTTTGTTTTTCTGATCCTGATCCATTCAGGGTTTTTTTTCACACACTTCCCCTTCTTTTCCTCCATTGACACTGGTGAAAGGACCTTGTAGGCTTCCAACAGTTGTTCAACTATAATTCCCAGCATCCCTTGCACTGGTCCCATGCAGGCCGGTCAAGCAACGGATAACGATTTAAGAAATTGCAGAGAACTACCATTCTCAATTTGTTAGGGATTGGGAATGCACTTAAAAAAACAACACTTACAATGAACTATTGCTCTGGTTGACATCTGGAAATGCCACCTCAAAGATCACCATTGGGTGCCAGATGGCAGAGATCACTTACACTCAGCCACGAGGTCATTAACCTCTGCTCAAAGACAAAAGCCATTTGGGACACGTAGAGCTAATACGCAACATTTTCTGCAAAAGCTACTACTCCTTTCCTCTCCTCTCTCTCTGCCCCACCCTGGCTCCCCTCCTCTCCTCCATCCCCATGAAACAAAATAAGCGTACTCACCCCAGGTAAAGTTTTAATATTGTGCAGCGCATTCTGAGCTTCTAGGGCTGCTTTTCTGGTATAAAACGTTATGAAACAACAACCTGTGGAGAGAAGTTGAAAAAGATTTCAGAAATGACCAGGTACAAAAAGAATGAAAAGGGGAGGAGGGAGGAGGAGGAGGAGGAGGAGGAGGAAAGGTAGCATGTGGGGCTACCTTTGAAGACTATCTAAAACAGAAGTCCCCAACCTTTTGGGCACCAGGGACCAGTTCTGTGGAGAGAGGTTTTCCCACGGACCGGAGGGTGCGTGGTTTTGTGTGCTGCCTGCGTCTTGCAAATAGGGCTTTGCTTGTTTGTGCGGACCAGCTGCTGGCATGCCACGGCCCGGTACTGGTCCATAGACTGGGGGTTGGAGACCCTTGATCTAAAAACTCTAAATATAAATACAAGCAACCCTTGCGTACAACATCTGCATTGCAAAGCTGCTGTTGCTGGTTTGTTTCTGAATTCAAGGAGCTGGTAATAACTATTAAACCTTATATGGCTTCAGACTGCATATCTGTAGACTGCTAAGGGATGCAGTCTTTGCCCTTTTATGCTCATGTAGAGATTCCAAACTAATTCCCCATTTGACTCCTCCATCTCCATCTCTCTGTGACATAAATTAGACTTGCATCCTCACAATTAATATTTAGAAAGTTGTTATTCAACCAAGTGTTGGGGGAATTAGAGAGGCAATAATTAGATATGTAGGAGATGTACAGAGCTATTACTATGTATTATGATTTGATGGAATTAATTGGAATGTTTACAACTTTATAGAGTCTACTGTTACCATTTTGTCAGTATGTTGTATGTTTGATTGTGCCTGGAAGCCATTTGGATTTGTCTATGCTGGTGTGGCATAAATACACGTAACAAACAAACTCCTTTTACTTTATTTAGCATCTGTTCTGTCAACTGGCAAGCCCGTGCATCTTTTCAGTAATAACGGTGGTTGCAGGCAGAGAAATCTGCAAAACCCGACAGTTTTGTCAAAACGATGAAATGAGCCTAGCCCTGTCACAACACAAATTCTGCCGCTTGTGTACGCTCATGAATGTGATTTCAGGTTATGACCATCATAGGTTGTAATGGAGCTGGACTCATTTTATCGTTTTCCCATTCTGTCTCTTGCTTAGACTTCGACTTGCACAAAGCTATCTGTCTCCCAAATCTTCGTCAATCTGTGAAGTAACCGTTCCAGAGACTCTTTATTTAACCATGTCAGGTTTCAGTCCATCAGGTTTCTGAGATTTAAGAAAAAAACAAAACGATCTGAATCACTGTAATGTTCAGACTAATCATTTAGCAACTGTCATTTTGAGCATTCCCCATGTGCACCAGCTGGAAAGAAGAAGGGAAGTGGATTTTTCAAGGATCTGCTGTTTTGGAAACAGACCTTGGGAATAGAACAGCCTCTGGTTTTAAAAATGTGAGAGCATGAGGGAGGGACCACAAGAACATATCTTTCCAAGTTTTGGTCACCACGATGTAAAAAAGATGTTGAGATTCTAGAAAGAGTACAGAGAAGAGCAATAAAGATGATCAGGGGACTGGAGGCTAAAACATAGAAGGAACAGTTGCTGGAATTGGGGATGTCTAGTTTAATGAAGAGAAGGACGAGGGGGAACATGATAGCAGCGTTTCAATATCTCAGGGGCTGCCACACAGAAGAGGGAGTCAAGCTATTCTCCAAAGCTCCTGAAGGCAGGACAAGAAGCAACGGATGGAAACTGATCAAGGAGAGAAGCAACCTAGAACTAAGGAGAAACTTCCTGACAATTAGAACAATTAACCAGTGGAACAACCTGCCTCCAAGGAAGGCAGTGGCTCAGGAAGTTAGGAGGCTGGACTGATGATCCACAGGTTCATATTTGAGACCCAGTTGCTGCAGTGGGATGGGGCGAGCTCCCATCACACATTCCATCTCCTGCTGACCAGCAGTTCAAAAGCCACCATGAATAGATAGATTGATACCACTTCGGTGGGAAACTTAATGGGGACATGAAAGGAGCCCCAAACTGGGCATTCCCCAGGCAAGGGTGAAGTCACCATTCAATCCTTTCAACTTGGAAACGCTCTCCAGATGAATGTAGTAATCTTACTAGAGGCAACCTGATCCTGTTGACTAATAAAAGATTTTTGTTGGATGCAGAGTTTGGAAAATTTTAGAGGTAGCATCATCCAGAAATCCTTTTGCCTATGGGCATGCCCCTCAGGAACCTGCTAGTACTACAAATAAGCTCCATATTGGCAAACTTATAGCCACTTCCTGCTCCTGCTCTTCCTCTGCAGGCTGGAGTTATTTGTTTACAGCTGAGTATGGATGATTAATGGGAACTAATTATTGGAATTTGGATTGTTTATAGCTCAAGATCCCTTAATTACTTCAAAGGTCAGCTACCATCGGATTTTCAAGAAGATGAGTTATATATCCCAACTAAAACGAAAGAAGAGAAGGGTATGGAAGAAATTTGTTGTTGTTAGTTGCGAATTCGTGTCCGATCCATTGCAACCCCATGGACAACGTTCCTCCAGGCCTTCCTGTCCTCTACCATCTTCTGGAGTCCATTTAAGCTCACGCCTATAGCTTCAGGGACTCCATCCAGCCACCTCATTCTCTGTCATTCCCTTCTTCTATTGCCCTCAATTTTTCCCAGCATTAGGCTCTTCTCCAGTGAGTCCTTCCTTATTAGGTGGCCAAAGTACTTGAGTTTCAACTTCAGGATCTGGCCTTCTAAAGAGCAGTCAGGGCTGATCTCCTCTAGGACTGACCGGTTTGATTGTCTTACAGTCCCAGGGGACTCGCAGGAGTCTTCTCCAGCACCATAGTTAAAAGGCCTCAATTCTTTGGCGCTCAGCCTTTTTGATGGTCCAACTTTCACAGCCATACATTGCAACTGGGAAAACCATGGCCTGGACTATATTAGAAGAAACAGCAACAGCAAACTAGCTCTCATCATGAACTGGTCCAATCATTGAGAAAAACATCATTTCTCCATTAGTTATTTCTTCCTGAAGGTTTGTATAAGATGACAACATGTTGCATGGAGGTCTTGTGTCAACCTGCTACTCTTTCAGTGCAATGGAGAGGGATCCTCTACTGCCAGTGTTAAATAGGATTCATTCCTAATCTCACTGGCTTTTCAATATGGAGAAAACAAACAGCATTATTTTGCCCAAGGGACTGTCTAGAGCATGGGTGTCAAACTCGCCCCGTCACGCGATGTGTCGCGACCGTGACTTTTTTTGCAGTGCCTGGAGCTGGGTTGGGCGCGGCCTCCATATGATGCAACCAGCCCGCGGGCTGGCAGTTTAAAACCCCTGGTCTACCAGACTGGAGGCTAAAATATATGAAAAATGGTTGCAGAAATTGGATAATGTGTCATTTATTGAAGAGAAGGACGAGGGGTGATATGACAGCTATGTTCCAATACCTCAGGGGCTGCCCCAAAGAATAGGGGGTCACCCTATTCCCCCAAGCACCTGAGGGCAGGACAAGAAGCAACAGATGGAAACTAATGAAGGAGAGAAGCAATCTGGAACTAAGGAGACATTTCCTGACAGTGAGAACCATTAACCAGTGGAATAACTTGCCTTCATAAGTTGTGGGTGCTCCATCACTGGAGGTTTTTAAAAAGAGATTGGACAGCCCTTTGTCTGAAATGGTATAGGGTTTCCTGCTTGAGCAGGGGGTTGGACTAGAAGACCTCCAAGGTCCCTTCCAACTCTGTTATTCTGTCCTTTGCCCAAAGACATAGCATGGATCATCTGTGGAAGTAAGAGCAATGCAACTGAGCCTCTACTTCACATTCCCCTCCTTCCTTCTCCTCTTTTTCATTTGCAGCTTCCAGGCTGAACCATTTCATCTGAAAGAGGAATAACGTGTGCAAAACCAGAGGACGCGAGGTTGCTAATTGGGCCAAATCTCCCCAGGCTTCCTGGGCCCGTTGGCAATAAATATGAATGACTGTGCGGTTCAGTGAATCCCAGAAAGGAACAACTTTAATTATGCAAGCAAGGTTATGATGCTGGAGCCACGGTTTGGCACTTGAGAAGAAATGGATGTGGAATTCCAGGAAAAAGCGGTTGAACGACTGGTTTGGGACAAAGCAACACTGGAAAAAGCAAGAAGAAGAAAAAAAACAACAGATCATCAGATTGTTCTTGATGATGCTGAAGGACCGAAGTTGTGAACTTCTGGGCTTGTCTCTATGTGCATACATATATTTATTTGTACGTGCTTTGTGTGCGTTTTCTACTTGCATCATTGAAGCTCCTCATGCACGATGCAGGAGTAAACAATGAAACCCCCAAGAGATACTATGGATATCCTCCTCCCTTCTCTGTGTAAATTTCACATGTTGTTATTGTTGTTGTTGTTGTTAATTGCGAAGTCGTGTCCGACCCATCGCGACCCCATGGACAACATTCCTCCAGGTCTTCCTGTCCTCTACCATCTTCTGGAGTCTATTTAAATTCACACCTACTGCTTCAGGGACTCCATCCAGCCATCTCATTCTCTGTCATCCCATTCTTCTATTGCCCTCAATCTTTCCCAGCATTAGGCTCTTCTCCAGTGAATCCTTCCTTCTCATTAGGTGGCCAAAGTACTTGAGTTTCAACTTCAGGATCTAGCCTTCTAAAGAGCAGTCGGGGTTGATCTCTTCTAGGACTGACCGGTTTGAACGCCTTGCAGTCCAAGGGACTCGCAGGAGTCTTCTCCAGCACCATAGTTCAAAGGCCTCAATTCTTTGGCGCTCAGCCTTTCTTATGGTCCAACTTTCACAGCCATACATTGCAACTGGGAAAACCATGGCCTGGACTATACGCACTTTTGTTGGCAGGGTGATATCTCTGCTTTTTAGTATGCTGTCTAGATTTGCCATAGCTTTCCTCCCCAGGAGCAAGCGTCTTTTAATTTCTTGGCTGCAGTCCCCATCTGAGGTGATTTTTGAGCCCAGAAAAATAAAATCTGTCACTACCTCCATTTCTTCCCCATCTATTTGCCAAGAATTGAGAGGGCCGGATGCCATGATTTTGGTTTTCTTAATGTTGAG